CCCCAAAACCCCAAAACCCCGTCATCTAAATGAGACGAATAATTAAAATAATTTAAAATTAAATTATAAATATAATAAGTATGAAAAAAGGATAGGCACCACCGCCTCAGCCAGAAGTCACCTAAGACAAAGAAGAGGTCAAGGAAGTCCCACAATCAGGCTACGGTAGATTTGAATATATCAATGGCACTCTCTATGTTGGTAATTGGAAACTTCACAATGGAGTGAAGGTCAAACACGGATTTGGAAAGATTACATTCTCAGGTGCAACTGCCTCTGAATTCGGTAACGAAGAATACTCAGGAGATTGGGAGGAAGACCTAATGCATGGCTATGGAGTTTATAAGTATACTTCTGGGGCTGTGTACACAGGATACTGGCACAAGGGAAAGTAGCATGGCCAAGGTATAATGCAGTTTGCAGATGGATCAAAGTATGAAGGTCAATGGGAAAATAACTTGATGCATGGAGATGGATTATATACTGATGCAGATTAAGTCAGATGGGAAGGCATCTTCGTTAATGGCTCCTATGAATCTAAGATTCAAAAGAAATTGCAAGGAGATAAGATACTTAAAGAGAAGAGAAAGGGCTATGAAGAGAAAGCGAAAGAATTCTTCACTAGATTTATGGAGGCATTTTCGAAATCAGATAAGAAAACCTTTAAAGATAATTTAGCTCCATTCTTTGCAACTGTAGATCATGTTCAGGAATTCGTATCTGACCCTTACCCCAAATTCGAAGAAAAGTAGCCAGATAAGTGGAATGAATGGATGAAATTAGTATTTGGAGAAGGCAAATGCAAAATCAAGGCACTAGGAAGCAAAGAGGAGTCGTCGTTAATTCCTTAAGCAAACATTCATGCAGAGTAATTAAGAGAAAAGCCAGGTGGCCAGTTAGTCGAAGTTAATCATATTGTGGGCGATAAAAATTTTGTGTGCGTACTGTGCGAGTTACCCAACGAAAACTGGGTGCTAGTTTACTATGCAGAGAAATCAAACTGATTCATTTTTAAGCATCAACAGCACTATATTTATAAATTGTTCTTTACAATTAATGCTCATTTATTTGCTAGCTAGGGGTTTTGGGGTTTTGGGGTTTTGGGG